CAAGGAAGGAGTGTTAATATTTTTTCATCCGATTCCTTTTTCCATTTATGGTGTAATTTCGATTAGTTCGGTTGATCGATGATAAAAGCTCAGCATATCCAACTATTTTTGCGCCTTTGCGTAAAATTAAGTTTAACGAGCCATCATACATGAGGTTCCACAAAAAGGTACCCAAGATGGAACCTTGGGGACGCCTGGTGTTATAATATAGTGCTTAATACCCTCGTCTGTATTATTCAACAGAATTCTATTTTCCAGATAGCTATCGATAATATTGATCAAATATTCTGATAAGTTACGCATCCTTATTGTTCGGTTTATGACATCCCAATCCGCAGAATTGATAGCGTTCTTGACATCTAAGGTGATTATCGCACAACACCTCATTTGATTCATACACTTTTTAGCACTATCAACGACTTCTCTAAAAGAATCTACGGTGGATTTGCCTTTGGCAATACCATACTTCATTGGCGAGAAACCTGTGAACAGTAATTTTTCTAGGAATTTACCGCATGTGTCCAGTAGCAAATCAGCCTATACGATGACGGATTGTATAACGGTTTTTATTCTTGCGTAACAACACTAACTGCTGCATTTTCCAGAGTGGTGGAAACTTGCCCTTCCTTAAACACTGATTGAAAACATGTTGAAATATTTCTGGCTACCTTGTTACAACAAGAGACATTATATCGTTTGGGATTCCAACAGGTCCTGCTTACTTTACTTTTCATTAATTTCTGACTGGTTTCTATGATTTCTGGGGTACAAAGCTTCTCATAGTTGCTCTCCTGTTGTTCGGGAAATATTTCCCTTCTGTTTTTACACTTCGGAAAAATAGTTTCAACTCTTGATAGAGCCCACTGTGGATGTCTTATCTTGTTCTATGAAAATATGAAAAGAAAAATATATCCTTTATAGAATTTTTCATTTGACATTTTATTCCTTTATAAAAGTTTTCATTTCACATTTTCATAAAATAAGAATTGAGGCCCTGGTATAGTACCTCTATTTCCAATTATCTTTGTAATAAACATATATGAAAGAACCCAAGGGTCATTTTTCACTTCAATAATTAGAGTTTCCAATGAATTTTTAATTGCTAAGCGAAGATTTTTTTCTAGCAGCTTATATCGGCATTTTGCTTCTATGTCTCCTTTTTTCTCGTTGCTACTATTGTTGCTTCGATCAATTTGTCCTTGCATTTACTTGTGTTCAGTTTACTTGTATTCCACCTGGGCTTAGTAGTGTTTGTCGTAAACATCCTATGGTCCATTTAAAATGTTATGTATTGATGGTCACTTAGTGATTCGTCACTTAAAACTTTCCAGTTTAGTGGTGTTGGTGCAACTGATTGAGGCCGCGTGGCCTCTCATAAATGTATTTCCTTTATTGAATATAGCTAGTCTGTCTAGTCCATTGGTGCTATAATCTCGCTTACTGCTAAACCTCTTTAGTCTGTTTTCAGTGTATATCATTCGGACGATTTACTGTTAAAATCTCCAGCAATTATGCTGTAGTTTTATGTGCCTTTCCAGTTCCCAGAGTATTATTAAAAACTCTTGTAGCTCCATGTTTGGCGAATAGTAACAACTATACATGCTTAATTCCTTTGTGTGTATGACAACGAAACTTTCATTGTGCTCCTCAACACTATGTATAGTTATTCCTGAGTTTCCAATATATATCGACGCATTTGTACTAACGTCTGTCTGCCTTCACATTTATTGTATTGTTCGCTGATTAAAATGTTGTCTGCGTCTATATCATAGGCATTTTTTATCATAAGATCTTAAGTTTGGTGTCCTCTTCCTAAGTTAATTTGCAGGATCTTAATTCGCATTACTATAATATGAGCCTGTTCCCATATAATGACGTGTATTTTCTTCTTATGTGGTTTGGACATGAGATTGACCTATGTCCATCAACTGTTTTTTTCGCAAAAATAATTTTGGGTAAAAAATCGCTATAACCGCTACCTGAAACAGCCAAAATCGCTAGCTTAGGGATTAAAAAAAAAATTTTCAAGGTGGCCATTTAAATTTTTGCTATTTGCTACGACATCAATTAGAATTAATGCAGCATACATAATTTGAGCGTACGCTACAGAGGCAAATAATCTCCTGGTGATTTTATATGGTCCTTCAATGTTAGGCATTATACGAACTAGTTTGTCTGCAGTTTTAACTGGTTTCTCAGATACTGTTCTGACGTGTTGTGTAAAAGACAACCTATTGTCGAGAATTACTCCTAGGTATTTTAGTGAGTTTTCTATTTTAATCTCATATCCGTCAACTAATAGCTATGAATGTGAATTTTCTCCTTTCTGTTACGAGTATCGCCTCTGTTTCGTGGGGTGCAAGAGATAGCTTTTTGGATACAAGCTATCCTGATATCCTTCGTAGTCTATCGTATGGTATAATTTCGATTAGATCGGTTGATCGACGATAAAAGCTATATCATCAGCATATCCAACTATTTTTGCGCTTTTGGGTAAAATTATGTTTAACAAGCCATCATACATGAGTTTCCACAGAAAGGCACCCAAGATGGAACCTTGGGGGATGCCCGATGTTATTTTATAGTGCTTTATACCCTCGTCTGTGTCATTCAACAAAATTCTATTTTCCAGATAGCTGTCAATAATATTGATTAAATATTCTGATGAGTTACGCTTCCTTATTGTTCGCTTTATGACATCCCAATCAGCAAAATTGAAAGCGTTCTTCATATCTAAGGTGATTATCGCACAACACCTCATTTGATTCATACACTTTTTAGCACTATCAACGACTTCTCTTATAGCATCTACGGTGATTTTCCTTTGACAAAACCAAACTTCATTGGCGAGAACCACCGCTTATTTTCACTTATTCTTCTAGCCTGTACAACAGTAATTTTTCTAGGAATTTATCGCATGTGTCCACCATGCAAAACAGTCTATACGACGACGGATTGTCTAACGGTTTTTCATTCTTGCGTAACAACACTAGCTGCTGCATTTTCCAGACTAGTGGAAACTCGCCCTTCTTTAAACATTGATTGAAAACATGTTGAAATATTTCTGGCTACCTTGTTCCAACAAGAGTTATTACATCGTTCCATCAGGTCCTGATGCTTTGTTTTGGTTAATTTTTGACAGGTCTCTATGATTTCTGTGGTACTAAGGGGCTCATAGTTTCTCTCCTATTGTTTGGGAAATATTTCCCTTCTGTTTTTACACTTCGGAAAAAGAGTTTCAAGTATTGTTAGAGCCCAATGTGGATCTCTTATCCCTGGCAAAGCACTTCTATTTCCAATATTCTTTGTAATAATCATATATGGGAGACCCCAAGGGCCATTTTGCACCTCACTAATTAGTGATTCCCATGAATTTTTAATTGCTAAGCGAAGATTTTTCGCTAGCAGCTCTACATTGGTCTGTTGATCAGCAATATTTTTGTTCCACCAGGAAACATGTTTTTTGTTGTTAACTACTGACGTTGTTTTGTCATCCAATAACAACTATACATGCTGAATTCCTTTGTGTGTATCAACACCAATTTTCATTGTGCTCCCCAAGACATCATATTGTTTTTCCTGACTTTCTGACATATATCGATACCTTTACATTTCCGGTGTTGCTCGCTGATTAAAATTATGTCTGCGTCCATACCAGAGGCATTTTTTATCAAAAGATCTTGAGTTTGGTGTCCTCTTCCTAAGTTAATTTGCAGGATCTTAATTCGCATTACTATAATATGAGCCTGTTACCGTATAGTGATGTGTATTTTCTTCTTATCAGGTTTGGACATGAGATTGGCCTAGGTCCATCAGTGCCACATTTTCTATGGTGAGCATGTAAGAGTGGGGGGTAAGTCGGCATATTTTATACATTGCTAAGATTCTTGACATACATATATAGCGCTTATATATACTAAGGATTCGTTAATATAAGGTACCATATGAACATACTGCTGCGTAAAGTATTTAAGTATTGTCATATATGGGGCCATATCCAATTAATCGGCCAATTACACATCCTAAATATTATAAGTTTTACTTGTTTAATATTGAAACTTTTAATATTTAAAACTGAAACAATCACATTATCCTACATATGTTTTTATAGTTAACATTTGCGACAAATGTAATGGAAACTAGTTGCGTTATATGAACAATGGACACAATGGAATGAAAATCGGTCTCTCTATCATACCCACACATATAAAAACCTACGTTTCTCAGTTTATTTAGAAACTCATCCACTCTCAAATCCTACATAGAAAGGTTCGTTACATAGTCGATATAAGATCGGCCAGTAAGCCTATCTCTTAAATAAGTTCGTCCTTCTAATAAGTTTATCGTCCAATCGTTGTTAAAAGTAGTATCCTTCATGGTACAATAAAGAGGGAGAAAAGTTTCGTAAAACTACTGAAATACAATATTTTTCCTGAATGTTAAAATGAGATAAAAGCGCAAACAATGAATGACATTTCTGGATTTTCTTAAAAAAATATGTATTCACTCCATGCCAAAACTGGTTTACATCTTTAACGCGCGCACCGCAATAACCTTTTTTCCAACCATTTATTTTGAAAATTTCTTGTTCTTATTTTTTAAAACAATAAATACAGACACAAACTTGGCACTCAAAAAATTGTAGCTATACCTTTTTATTGCACCGCAATTTTCTTGTTGGACCTTATATAATCTATGGTCCCTTATTTTTTTCGTTTGCTTTAAAAGTAATGACAATAAAAAATTCTGCGTAAAAATCCCTACAACCGCTACCTGAAACAGCCAAAATCGCTACTTTAGGGATTAAAGATAATATCGCTAGATTGAATTATGGAGATTAGTAAAATAAAACATATTAGTATAACTCAGATTTATAAATTTGTTTTAAGTGGTTTTTGAATGTAAAATATAAACGTAAAAGAAATTGAATATTTTCGTAGAGTTTGGACATTTATAAATTTTATCTCACAATTTGTAGGTTCTGGGATACAAATATAAGTTGTGTTCCAGAACCTAAAAGTTAGTACTAATTAGTGCTAATTCTACTACAACGCGTTCCCGTACTCCAAAAACTAGCAAAACTTGCAGCTCTCTCGAGAATAAAATGGCGCTGAGTGGTGCACATTTCTGCTTGTTTTAGCTACATGAATTTGGCCGAGCAGAAATGTGCAAATTGTAAATTTGACATTTAATTGGCAGGGCTAACAAGGTTGAAAAATGTATTAATACGTTTCAATGTTCGCGCGTAACAACAAATGTAAAGAAAAAAGATTAACTTAAAAAATAAAGAATAACTAATATTTGTCGTGCAAAAAACAAAAAGAGAAAATATGGAGCAACTGATGTATTCACTTTTGGATGATTCCAGCAGTAAAGAGGATTGGCTGAATGAGGAATCAGACGAAGAAAACGTATTGGAAAACAGTGCAAAATTAGTAAAAGGTAAATTGGAAATTAAGCTTAGAATCAAAGTCGTTTGCTTATTACTGCGAACATTTTCTTTTTATTTTTTAGGTTGGCTGTCTTCCTAACTTGTAGCATTAAGTCTTCTTGCAGACTTAACATTAATTTAACCGGCGCCTCCAACCATGTGAGCTTTTCCGGGTTGGGATTTGAGAAAACTCCACCTCTAAATACTCTTCAACGCATTCTGAAAACAAAACTTTCTAAATAAACACCATTCAAAAATAATTATTAATTTTAATTTATTTTCAATACTCATTTTTAAATTTTGGCGTCCATTTCAGTAAGGTTTCACCAGTCCGATTTAGACTGTTTTCTTTTGGAATTTTGAATGTTGACATTTTAGCACATTTCTGCTAATTTTCCGTTCCCTTATTTTTTGAGCACACCTAAATGAGAATGGCATTTCGTACTGTTCTCTCTTCTGCTAGTTTTACTACTAAAAAAGTACTGGAACACAACTATAGTTGGAAAGGAAGGTATATTAGGTGTGTCTGGTTACTCTAAAATTTGTAACAATTGTTACAAATTGTTACTGGAAGTCGTCTGTTAACCCGAAAGTTCTGCAAAAGAGAGCGGTTGGAGAGAGAAATTTTGACAGTTTTTTCAGTGAGAGTTTGCAAATTCTTGCTGGACAAATTTCTTCTTGCAATCACTTGCAACTCTTCTTCTTCTCATTCATCGACATTCAATCAGATGTTTTCTATTGTTTGTTTAGTTTCAATTTGAGAACAACGTAAAAGAATGTGAAAAAAAGTAAATATTAATATGTAATAAGAAAATAAAATACTATTTCCAACATTTTTATTTAAAAAACTTGTAAAATTAGTATTGCTTCCTTTGTTTTAATTCTCCTTATGGGGACAAATTGGTTTGTTTTGACAAATCAGCTGATTAGTTGCAAACTTCTGCAGGAATACCGTCTGTTTACTTTTCGCATTTTCCTTGCAAAAGAGAATAAAACTACCTTACTCTCTCAGAAAGAAGTTGCTGGACAATTCCTGCTGGAAAAGTAACCAGACACACCTATTATTTATGGCACTTTGTTTGTGGCATCCCTAAATATTCGTCGTAGACGTATAAACGATTTAACAATGTTCATCTGTCTGTTCGTTCGTCTGTCTGTTGAATCACGACACAGCCCAAATTATTTGACGTAGTGCTTCAAAATTTGGCCGAAGAATTTGTATTGTGTCTAGGATGGTTAGTATCGGTCCACGTATGGTCCCTATATAACGGTACCTCTCGATATTCCTTATTCAAAAAAATGTTATTTGTAGGCCATAATGGGCCTAGCGAATGGTATGACGAAATATTGTATGTATAGGCCCATGTTCTGCTATAGCCCCCATATAACGGTACCTCCCGACATTCGGTTTTTGATGATTTTTGCCACAATTTTTATGGATTTGTCTAAAAATTGGTATATGTTTGTAATAATGGATTCTAGCTCCGGTGACGAAACGTTGTATGTATAGGTCCTCGTTTCGTATCTCCCGATATTTGGTATTTTGATGATTTTTGCCACATTTTGTCACGGATTTGTCTAAAAATTGGTATTTGTATGTCATATTTGGTTTTAGTATAGGTCCACGGTTTGGTATATGCTCCATATAACGGTACCTCCCGATATATGGCATTTGATGATCATTGCCACAATTTTTCATGAAATTTTCTAAAAATTGGTATTTGTTGTTCATAATGGTGTGTTAGAATATTGAATATTTAGTTCCAATTTTGGTATTTGGTATTTAAGAAGATTTGGAAGACGACAATACTTGAAGTATAAAATTGTCTATAGAGGTTCCCGTTTTGGTATGGCCTCATATTTACGGTTTTTTTTGACAAGTTAAACTGTATTATGCAAAAGGTATTACTGGCATATTCAGTCTAAAGTGAAACGCTCTTGAATTCAGATACTTTTACATATGTTTCCTTTGCCCCTATTCGGCGATTGTACATGCCCATATTCGGTATTTAGAGGATTAGCCAATTAGCTTAAGACTCGGTATTTGGAGTTCGAAATGTCTTCTTTCAACTGTGTCAGAACAATGTTCATATAAGTCCTTGATTTCGTATAAACCCCATATAAATGTATCTACTTATATTCTGTATTTTTACAATTTTTGTCACAGTTTCTAGCTAAATAGTACAAATTTCCTTATTTGACGTTCATAATGGACCTGTGACAGAAACTTGCCTATATGGCTTCCTGTTTTCTTATGGACCCCATATAACGATTCTACTCTATATTCGATGTTTTGGTCACTGACATTATCCTAATGGTATGTTGTTTTGATGTTTTCAAACACCACAAATCTCTACTGACTAGGGCCAAAAATAAAACTGTGAAGAATTGTAAATATATCGCCTCTGTTTTGTGGAGTGCAAGAGATAGCTTATTGGATACGAGCTGTGATGATATCCTTGATAGGCTATCAATGGTGTAATTTCGACTAGATTGGTTGATCGACGATCAGAATTCTATTTTCCAGATAGCTATCGATAATATTGATCAAATATTCTGATAAGTTACGCATCCTTGTTGTTCGCTTTATAACATCCCAATCCCAAAAAATTAAAGCGTTCTTGATATCTGAGGCGATTATCGCTCAACACCTCATTTGATTCATACACTTTTTAGCACAATCAACGACTTCTCTTATAGCATCTACGGTGGATTTGCCTTTGACAAAACCAAACTTCATTGGCGAGAACCACCGCTTATTTTCACTTATTCTTCTAGCCTGTACAGCAGTAATTTTTCTAGGAATCTAGAGCATGTGTCCAGCATGCAAAACAGTCTATACGACGACGGATTGTCTAGCGGTTTTACATTCTTACGTAACAACACTAACTGCTGTATTTTTCAGACTGGTGGAAACTCGCCCTTCCTTAAACATTGAATGAAAACATGTTTGGGATTCCATCTAGTGTTGGTGCTTTCCTTTTCATTAATTTTTGACAGGTCTCTATGATTTCTGTGGTACTAAGTGGCTCATAGTTTCCCTCCTGTTGTTCGGGAAATATTTCCCTTCTGTTTTTACACTTCGGAAAAAGAGTTTCAAGTATTGTTACAGCCCACTGTGGATCTCTTATCCCTGGTATAGCACTTCTATTTCCAATTTTCTTTGTAACAATCATATATGGGTGACCCACAGGGCACTTCATTATTTTGTGATTCCCACGATTTTTTAATTGCTAGGCGAAGATTTTTTCTAGCAGCTCTATATCGGTCTGTCGCTACTATGTCTTCTTTTTTTCTCGTTGCTACTCTTTTTGCTTTGATGTATTTTTTTGTAAATCAGCAATATTTTTGTTCCACCAGTAAACACGTTTTTTTGTTGTAACTACTGACATTGTTTTGTCATCCCAATTTGATTGCACCTTTCACCTAATCGAATTTATTGCGATCGATTCTACCCTTTAAATCGATCAATTTGTCCTTGTATTTACTTGTGTTTAGTTTCCTTATATTCCACCTCGGCTTAGTAGTGTTTCAAATGGCATGTATTGATGGTCACTTAGTGATTCGTCACTTAAAACTTTCCAGTTTAGTACTGTCGGTGCAATTGTTGTTGAGACTAATGCAATGTCGATGATTGAGGTTGCGTTGCCTCTCATAAATGTAGGGGTATTTCCTTTATTGAATATACCTAGTCGGTCTAGATTATTCATGCTATCATCTCGCTTACTGCTAAACCTATTTTGTCTGTTATCCGTGAACACCATTCCGACGATTTACTGTTAAAATCTCCAGCAATTAGTACTGGTGTATGCTGTAGTTTTATGTGCCTTTCCAGTTCCCAGAGTTTTATTAAAACCTCTTAAAGCTCCATATTTGGCGAATAATAACAACTATACATGCTTAATTCCTTTGTGTGTATGGCAACGAAATTTTCATTGTGCTCCTCAACACTTTGTACAATTATTCTTGAGTATATCGACGTATTTGCACTAATGTCTTGGTACCACTGTCTGCCTTCACATATCCAGTATTGCTCGCTGATTAAAATTATGTCTGCGTCCATACCAGAGGTATTTTTTATCATAAAATATTGAGTTTGCTGTCCTCTTCCTAAGTTAATTTGCAGGATCTTAATTCGCATTACAATAATATGAGCCTGTTCCCGTATAGTGATGTGTATTTTCTTCTTATCAGGTTTGGACATGAGATTGACCTATGTACATCAATGCTACATTTTCTACACATCTTACTTCGGTTTTTCCCTTGGCAGTGTCGAGCAATATGACCTTGTTTTAGACATCTTTAACAATGTTTGGCAAAAATGTTCCTCCATTTACGACATTGGACCAGTCCCACTCTAATCGTTGTATTTTTAAGAGTGTAGTAGCAATATTGCCTGGGATTTCTGCTATTGCGCATTTCAATGTTACTCCTGGGATCTGCATTATTGACAGCTTCCAGTATACTGCTATGTGATTTGCTTCAATAACTACATACATACATTGATTCATTGATTGCTCTTAAATTAATAGCTAATCTGACAATAGTAAAATAAAAAATATTAAACAAAGTAAAAATATTAAGGAGTATTACGATGTATTCGATTTTAGGCAAAACTATCGCTCTACATCTTCTGTATATATAATAATGGTTGGTATGTAAGATTGGGGGTAAGTTGGCATATTTTATACATTGCTAAGATTCTTGCCAAACATACATATAACGCTTATATATACTAAGGATTCGTTAATATAAGGTACCATACACACTGCTGCGTAAAGCATTTAAGTATTACCATATATGTGGCCATATCCAATTAATCGGCCAATTACACATCCTAAATATTATAGGTTTTACATGTTTAATATTGGAACCTCTAATATTTAAAACTGAAACAATCACATTATCCTACTTATGTTTTTATAGCTAACTTTTGCGAAAAATGTAATGGAAACTACTTGTGTTATATATAAAAATGGAATATGAACAATGGACACAATGAAATGAATTTCGGTCTCTCTATCATACCTACACATATAAAAACTTACGTTTCTCAGTTAATTTACATAGTCGATATAATATCGGCCAGTAAGCCTATCTCTTAACTAAATTCGTCCTCAAAGTTCATAATTGTCATTTGAATTTAAAAAAAGTCAAATCACAATAGTGAGCAACTAATAAGTTTATCGTCCAATCGTTGTTAAAAGTAGTATTCTTCATGGCACAATAAAGAGGGAGAACAGTTTCGTAAAACTACTGA